TGATAGGTACCTAAGGTCAATCACAAAGAACTTACATTTAATACTACTTTTTATAATTTTCTATACTGTTTTATCCACGTAACCTCAAGTAGGAATCAAGTATAAAGAGCCACTGCTAGGAAACTCTCTTTTTTAATTATGCTATAGTCCACTCCAGGTCCTCCTTGCGTATCGCATATCAATCCAGTAAGCCACGCTAAGTGTACTATGATGTAAAGTGTACTATGGTGTAAATCAAATGGACACGCTGTTCTAATATCGTGTGGTTATCGAGAATTATGCAACTCCAAACAACAGTCGGTCGCGTCTTATTTCGACACACTTAAACTTTGCGTCAAGAAAGCGCCGACGAGTTCCGGTTGTCGTTTCCCAAGCCGTTACGACACGAGGTGGTCTGTCGGCCGCCGATTGATTTCGCTTATCCGTAAACAGCAAGCTAATATAGCGTTTACTACGTTCTAATAACGCTCACTAACGCACGCCAAACAAAGTCGTGCGCGCTACCGGTTCGAGGTTGCAATTGTGCACTTTGGTGGGTGCACAACACGAGTACATTTGGTATGCAAAAGCACTTAAGCCCTTTCTGAGCCCGTGCGAGCACTTTTTGGGCTGTCGCGACGCGATTTCCATTTTAGCCGTCAATCATCCGGACGGGGATGCTGGTGAAAGTGCGCCATTGCAGATAGTTTGAATCTCATTACGAGGTCCAATTCGTTCGAATACACGTCGAGGCGCGTGCGTTTTCTTGAACTGGAAACGTACTCGCCTCATAGCGCGACCCCATTTTCTTTTGAGAACGGTAAACCGATTTTTTCTTAGCACTGAGATCGTCAATTTACGTTTTACCTCTTTTTTTTACGCGGCGTACATAAAAACAACGTTTCGCTCGGTCTAAACGATTGGGCAATAAAAAATTCGTTCGCAAGCGTTAGCATATTAGTACCTACGACTATTGTTTGCGTAACGTTATTGTTTTCGTGAAGTACGCTCATTTTCATTTCTGATTCCGAGTCATATTTCGGCTTTGATTACGTATTATGTATTGTTTACTAGTTATTCTTACGTCGGTGACCGGCATTGATGATGGTTTGGTTATTGTTTACTAAATCTTTGATCACTCCGTGGCGCAGTTGCCAAGGTACTAGCTTCGACGCCGGGGTTGTGGGTTAAAATTTCACACGGGCCTGTGTGTCCTTAACCTAGATAATTCTTTCGGATCCGGGTGTTTGTCCACGTGAAATTTATGTATCTAAAACATCCTTACAATGCGGTATAATGTTAACCTACAGTACGTACAATGTGTTTAAAAAGATTCTGGCTTATAAATTTTGGTAATCTATTCAGAACTGTAGTCGCTAACGGACAATGTTTTAAAATCTGGCTTATAAATTATGGTAATGTATTCAGAACTGTAGCCGGTTGGGTTCTTTTCGTCAGTTTCTTCGATTAATACGGGTCTAATAACTGTAGTCTTCAATTTTTTTCAAGAGACTGCAGGCTGCCCATCTAACACGGAATGCTATGACTAAACCAAAAGATGACTGAACAACTGGCAATGTTTTTCTACTGCGCTCTTCGCTATTAGCGTTAGTCACCTTCGCTAAGATTTTTCCGTAAACACCGCAAGTTTTATATGAAACGATGCTAACTAAAACTGATTCTGTCCCGTGACCATGAACGTTGAAAATATAAAAGATAAATCCGTAAAAATAGTTTAATTTAGTAATGTGTGATCGCGTAAATACAAGAAATCTTTCACCTTTAGAATTATAGTGACCTATTTAAAAAATATACATTTTTGGTAAACATTAAATAAAGATTGATGCACTTATGATCTTGTATCTTGTATTAACTGATGTTTTTGCTTTCAGTCCCGAGACTATTAAAGCTTCATCTGACGCAGAACCGGTGGGCTAGACAGAACCCACGGGTTTGGGCCCTCCGCTGTGGGTAGGGCCGCGCATGTGCTCATGCGTGCGTTTAACTACGACATGTCATCTAAGGGCCATCGAAGTTGCGGTGCGGACCGAGACCCCGATGGCTGTCGACTGTGTTTTTAGCTAATCGGTGGCTGGGGGCGGTGAGAACCGCCCTGGAACGCGGGTGTACCTTGTGTACGCGTTGTGTTGGTCTCGCCGTGCTCGGAGGCGAGGGCGAACTATTGTTTGTTGTTAGTGTTATCCGGCGGGACCCGCGGCGGTCCGGCGGGACTCCCGGCGGATGCACTTATGAACAAACGCGGTAACTGAAGGGGAGTGAAATTTCTAATATCGGCTTTTGGTTTAATAGGAATCGAAAAAGGTATTCATTTTAGGTCGTCTCCTAAAGTTGTCAAAATCATGATTTTCTTAATTGGGTCCGTTTAATTCTAAAGTCAGTGTTCGCAATTTAATAAAGTCTTATCCTTAAATGTTTTTGCGGCCAAGCTAATAAATAAACTATTAAGGAGTATTATAATTTTTCTTTTTGCTAGAAAGGCCGAAAGAAAATCTTCTGCATTGTTCTATATCTATTACCTCTCTCGAGTTATAATAAAATTGGTCCTGCAAGTAGGTACTAGTTTATCCTTATTTTATTGCCCGCGTTTTAATTTCCAATTGCGCTGACATCACCTCATTTATTGCGGTCACGAAAGATCGTAATCAGCTCTCGGCGACGGTAATAGTTTTTGTTTATTTCTAATAGCAAGAGAAAACATATTCAAGAGATCGGATAGATATTTATAAATTGCCAATTTAAGGATCGAACCCATTAACTGAGCACCGACGCGTGTATGTTAGGAACTACGCCTATTGAAGAAGAACCTTACTTGATTCTTCGTAGGCATAGTATTAAAGTAACATAGAATACTGCATTCAGTATGTGATATGTTTTTGGGCGACTCACAATGTTTCATAGCCGTGAAAGCTCATTGTCCAGGCGCTCGCCTTTAATTCAATTTACTTGAGCAAGCTGAGTTCGATCCCCGGTGCCGGCACCAATGAAATTGTTAATTATAGTGCTTATTTATGACGTGCTCAACAACGAAGTAAAACATCTTGAGAAAACCAATCCAACTCACGGTCTTAACATGCTTGCGACCTTTAATTTTTTTTAACAAGTTGGCAAGCGAGTATGCCCTTCACCTGATGTTAAATAACTACCGCCGCCCATGGCCATCTACACCACCTAATGCGTCGCAGATGAGTTGTCAATCATTACAAAGAGTGGGCCCCGGTTACCTTACTCACCAGATGTAAGTATAATACTTTCACAACACGCCGATTCTTCCCCGGAAGAGCCTGCCCGTTCGTGCAACAGCCGTAGCTGCCGCGTGACCCTACAATGGCGTACTTTGTCGTTGCTCCTTTGTCCGGAATCAATCTGCGGGTCCGAAACGGTTTCGTGTGATCTTGTTCATCGCAACTAACGGTTGGAAGCGATTTCGCATACATCGCAACTAACGGCTCTAGCTATTATCAACGTAATGCGTCATTGAATGTTGAACTTGCACCGCTCGGTTCTATCGGAGGAATGTGCAGGTTTCGCGCATTCCCGAGGAAACATTGTGCATGTCCCTCTATGGAGGTTTTATCGTATTTACTAACGGATCTCGTTACTATATACACGTACATCACTGGCAGGCAATGTTCGACACCAAAATGATATTTTTATAATTCCTGTAAACTTTTCGAATTCGATGGTTCGAATGTAGGCCTGCCAGTTAGTTGCTAGGTCGGTCGCTTAAATATTAGAATATTTAAAATCACTCTTGAGTAATTAATTACATTAATTTGAACTTATCTCAAAAAGTGCTTGATTTATACGCAACTGATTTATTTTACGCGCGATCATTCATAACTAACACGCACACAAGTTCGTGCACAGTAAAATTTAGGTATTTATGAATGACTACCGCATTGTCAATACGTTCTGTATTTTAGGCATTTTTTTTTTTGAAAAAAAAAAAAAAAACTTTGTTTTTTATTTCAATAAACGATTATACTACCGAGTCTGAACCTCCTGTGTAAATTTGGGCACTTCTCAAAAAATCTCCCTGTATATTGTTTAATTTCTTCTTACCAACAACAAGCTGATATTTATCAAATTAAAAGTAATGTGTATTTCCAAGTGCGTTTTCGAAGATCGATTGCAATACCTTTCACTCTACTATTTAATCGCTCTATGAGTAACGGGGCCTGTCACGATCATTATCAGCCGATAATTTGCGTTTCCAAACTGGGCCGCTTAATATCGCGCAATTAGAGTCCACAACAGTTGATGATAAGGCTATTAAATAATAACTCTATTCATTAATTTACTCCAACATTTGCTCCGTTGGTTGTAAACGCCACAAAGAGCGAACAAAGTGCTGGAGCGATCTTGATTTGGCAGTTTAGTAAAACCTGATTCGAAACCTGTATGAGCCTAGTCAATTGAAATTAAGAAGTTGTTCATGTTCCTGGATCGTCAAACGCACGTTGTTTTTAATACCGATTTGCTTACCGTTCATGTGTGCTGCAAAGACATTGGGTCCGCTTAAAGAATTTGTGGTCTACACATCACTTAGGTACTTATATTGAAAAGGGTAATGCATCTTTAAAGCCCCACTGTCTTCCTAAAGATTTAGTGTACGCAGGGCGTTAGAACACAAGGCCGGCCATATAGTTCGTAGAACCGATGGGGAAGAACGTTTCTCGAGTGGCAGCCTCGTATTGACCATCGCAGTGTAGGATGATGCTCCGCTAGATGGACTACCTGTGCAAATGTGTCGGAATTCGATGGATGCACCGGCCAAAGAACATACGTGGCATTGTGGTGGAGGCCTATGTTCAGCAGTCAAATAGAACAGGCTGAAATGATGATGATATTAATGGCATTGGAAAATATGCGTATTTACGGCATCTTGTAGTCGCAACAATATCAGGCGACCGTACGCGCGTATTAGGTACTTTACCGACCTATAATATCTCTAACGTTTATCTTTCATATACGGACAATTCGTATGTTGTAACGGAGACATGGTTTCTTATGAGAACATCAGAAACAAGTTGCAGGTGCGTTACCGTGCAGTAAAAGAATTGGAAAGTGACAATATAAATATATAATTGTATCTCACTTCTGTGCCTTCTAGTTCTTTCTTTCTCATTGCTACATGACAGAATTATAACTACATCCCCGTTTGAGATGCCCCATTCTGGCAACGGTAGAAGCAGCTGTGTGACTTCATGATGGAGAGCAGCTCAATTCCCTTGGCCCGCCGCGCCGTATCACGAACTTGACCCAACGTAAGACCCGTAGAAAATGGATACCGATATGCGAACTTGGCATCGCCTATAAAGCGTCCGTTCTCTTCGAATCGTCAATGGCAAGTCTAATTCTCGATTCTTTAATTGTAACGGTTATTGAACGTGTTATGTATGTATGCACCGAGATTGTTTAGCGATTTGTTGAATGACTAGTGCGTGGACGCCCTAAGAACTGAGTATCGTGGTACAAACCATTTAATACCGAGTGAATGAGTTATTAATTTTCAACCAACTGCGAAAAAGGAGTCGGTTGTTTTTTTTTTGTTTGTTTATCCAGAACTCGTAATTTATGAAACGATTTTAAAAATTATTTTTTCATTGTTCTAAGTGATGGATATTTGACGATGGTTTTGTTTTTTTTTTTTGTTAATAAAAATTTTACTTGTTCTGTGTGTCTTTAAAAGTGATAGAAATTTAAATTTTGTGTTATTGCGCTCTAAGAATACAAACTCTAATAAGTATGGCTTGAACTACGAGTAAGTATCGATATCCGATTGGTTCGAACAGTAAACGTAAACAATCATGCTAGTTTACTTGTTCCTTTAACAATCAGGTAATCGCTGCGATGTCAGCGTCGCTTTCGAAGGAGGACGAAGTTGAAAAGGATGCCCCAGACAATTGTATCCCTCCGGGGAGTCGGTGCTGCTATCGTAGCGGATGTGTGTCCATTTATCACTTCCACGCGCCGAGCCAACGAACCGGCGTTGGGTCGGAAGTGCAGTTCGTTCCGTGCGTGTCTCTTATAGGGCAACTGCGTTCGTCTGCTGCTCTGTCGACGCTCACCGTGTGGTGGACGAAAAGCCGTCCAGGCCCCACGTAACCCGTGTCTCCTTTTAGTCGTCTATCCGACATGTCGGGGGTACTTTGGGCGTATTCTATGAGTCCGTGACTATTTTCTCGTTAACGTGGGCATAACCGCACTCGCGGGGGCAAGAGCGGGTTATTCCGGACTCGCACCGACTAAAACCACCACGCACCATGCTCCATCTAGGCGCATATCAAGAGGGCAACGGGAACGTTTTCGCACACTTCCGCGACCCTGCCAGCGCTGGCCGCCTCGGCAACCCTTCTCGGGGAGCAATTCCACTCTCCTCCACGACCTCCTTCCTCTTTCCTCCTATTCCTTTCCTTTCCTTTCTTCCTATTCTGCCCCTTTTTTGAGGCCAACGAACTCCCCCGAGTTCGCTGAGAAAGGCAAAAAAAGAAAAGCTACTTATTTGACATCGACAATATTTTTATTTTCTAAAAGCAGTGCTGCAGTGATTTCTTGTATCAGCTCTTATGTTTATTCCCGAGGTCGGCCAACGGTAAATATCATTAGCTGAGAAAAATAAGTTCGCTCATTACCCAGTTTTACTCTTTTCGATTCGATGAAGAACATCTCGAATATGCGTGTTAAATTTCACAAGCAGTCTGTTGTTTTCGGGGATAGAATATCAACGGAACTTTCTTTGCGTATGTTTACCACGATAAATATTATGTCGTGTCCTTCTATGTAATATCTTTCTTACGAAACTTATTTTTTTGTCATAAAGAAGAAATTAGGTAGGTATACAAAAGTACAAAAAAATAATTTTTCTTATATAAAAATAGGTCACTCTATAACATGAAATCTACTTACTCAAAGAGTAATTATCAACAACAGAAATGAGTTTTCTCTGGCTGCTTGTCAAACCACCGACGCTCTTATAACTTCGCGCACTAATTAAAAGCCTACATACCCTTTATACTTGTAAATACGTACGTAATGTTTGCGATAATTATTACTTCCAAAGCAATTAGACGAACTTGTTTAAATATAAAATAAAAAGGTCACGAAGTTTTAATAACCAAAAAGTGTGTGTACCATAATTATGTACGTTAGTATGCCTGGTTCTAACAAAGAATGTAAGATGTATTCAACACCCACTTGTCGCTGAATTTTCGCATTCAAATCGAGGTCACGGAGACGTTCCTTTAGATGGTGAATTTCAACTTAGACTTATCATTTCATTTCATTTTTATTTTTGAAAATCACTGAGATCTAAGACAAATATCTGTGGGTTACACAAATATTTGTCCCATGTGGGAATAGAACGCACGACCCCCTCGGCAACTGCGCCACGTAGTCACCAATCCCATCGCCGCTCGAAGTCGTGTTTCAATGGATCGCTTCCAAATTACACTTATTTTGGCCGCGGCTCGCCTGCCGACTAACGAGTTGCCAGTCTCAATGCCCCTCGTTATGTGAACGGATCGTTTTGTAAATGCGAGTTGTTTTCTTTTTTAAGAGTTCCGTCTGCCTCTTTGTTAAGACCCCTTTTACAAGAACAGGCAGAGGTACCTAGTTGGGATTTATGTCAAGTACTTAAGTCTCTACGCGAGTTTTAAATAAAGAACAGTCATGTCCGGATACAGAAGTTAGAAAATTCGCTCACTCGCTTATGGTAACCGCAGAGCGCTTCATCTTCAGTACAAGTAAAGGAAAATTGTAAATGTTTAATCATCGTCCAAAATAATTTAAAGTAAACTTAATTCCGTGCAAACGAAACCCTCAAAGCGCAATTTCTCTTGCTCGCACTTGTTTATTTTGAATGCGATACGCTTTTTAGGATTGGCACGAATGCAATCTCGCTTTCATTCAGTCATATAGCTGCGCCAGTTATTAAACCTCCTTTCAAATGACGTCATAAGCCTACACAGAATTCGGCTGGTACCAAGTTTACGAACATGACAGTCGCTAGTATAATATAAGGCGAATTATTTAATGGATCTTGAAAGTGTTGACTTTTTGTACCTTTATTCGTGTACTTCAATAAATCAAAGAATCTATCACAAACTTAATGCTCAATTGTAGCAAGAATTATGCTACGTACTTTTTTTACGTCGACTTTTTTATATGGCAAAATTCAAATTTCTAACCTTTTTGTATTGAATGTTGAGTTTTATTTCAGTTAACATATATTGAGATAGTAACTGTTTGAGTTTCGAAACTTGTGGAATTTAAATTTAAATAACGTAAAAAATTTACTTTCTTAGAAAAATACAAGAAACGGTCTTCTTAATTTGAATTTCATAACCAGAATTTTCTCCAGACTCCTTAAAATAAACTTAAAATAATTCTTAGCGAAACCATAAATCGATAGATATAGATATGAAGACATCGTAAAAATAGCCCGCTTCTTTGGCGTCCGTCGTCCGCTAATCTATCATCGTCATCTAAGAAAGTATAAAGTTATTAAACTCGAACGATAATGGGGCCGTACCGCGTGCTCTCGCACGATTCACGACCACTGTTGTGTCGAGGCAAAAAATCTCGGCTGTCGTCCGTTACGCAAATGACCAGTGATCGGTCTCAAGCGCTGTTGGAGTGTTCTGCCGTTACAACGGATCTGATCTCATCTGTTGTGTGTCACCAACGCATACCGAACTGGATAAAAGCTTTTGACGCGAAGCGTACCCGTTGAAATCTTAATTTTTTATAACATCAGTAATTTTCCCGTTTGCCTTTATTGATGTTTGTTGCGTACGAGCATTCATCATCGCTGTTTTCAACCGACTTGAAAAAAAGTTCTCAATACGACTGTATTTTTTACCTATTATCTTGTTAATAGATTTGTATGTTATTTAAAATAAAAGCATAACACTTTAGATAACTCGAACCGTTTGGTAAACATTTCCTCTCCGCTACTACTACTATACGGTTTACTGGTTTTAAATTTTATTTAATTCTCAATTTCAGTACGGTCAACATTTTCAATGAGGGTTAACTTATTAATCTCACCGGAACGGTTATCCATACCATAGCACTCTTTATTTCTCGTGCTCTTTTCCCAGTCAATGGCTTAGCAACCACGTCACCGCATTCAAACAACAAATTCATAGACATTACCGTTGATTGATGAACTCTGCCTCTTCGATTATGTGTATTTTAAGTCTACCGCCATCTCTATTTTCAGCTCTAAGAAAGAATTTAAAAAGCAGGAAAAACCCCAAAGCGGCTTAAAGTTTGGGGAAATAGTATTTATGTTTCCGTTCCGTTGATCGCTCTCGGTGCCAATCAATTGCCACACCTGCCAGTCGCGGCCTATTTGCGGTGTGTGTTATTGCGGTATTGCTCGTTCGTAACGGGGCCGTTGCTTGTTTCTCTTTTGCTGTCGTTCCTCAAAGCCGATTACAACCAGCCGAGTTCCGCTCGGTTTGCGATGGACTGGAGGCTTTTCGCGCGACCGTATGTGTGCTGGTACCCTGGTGGGTTGTGTACCTCTGACGCTACTCGTAGTTATAGTTCCATGAAAGTAAGGAGAATATAAATAAGTACTTAAACGCGCTAAGCGGTTAAGGGAAACATCGTGAGGAAACCTCTATGTTTTGGAAATAATAGAGAAAAAAAAGTAATAATTCGAAGATACGTGAGTCTGCCAATCCGTAGTGTGGTCGCGTGGTGGAACCGGGTTTCCTTATAACCCTTTCATTCACCGACGAGTCATATAGCATAGAGCGTTCTTTCAGCTCATAAAATTGCAATCGATAATTTAACTGATGATGGTGTCTAATGCCGATTTGAAATGCTTTGTATATTTGATTTGAAATTGAGTTAAAAATGAGCAATCGGACATCGATGTTAACATGGCTCTTAAATTTTCGTAACAACATATAAAAAGACCGACCAAGGATTCGCGCCCCAAGGGTTCCGTACCATTTTCTATTTAAACGGGTAAAACATCATGTCTGTTGCATGGGAACATACATACTGTTGTTATAGCGGCAACTGAAATATATCATCTGTGAAAATTTAAACTGACTAAATGTCACGGTTCATGGGATTATCGCCTCAATACTAGTTAGAGATTTGATTAGTTGATTTTAATGATAGGTGTAATAATATCGTATTTTAATTAACTTTATTAATTAACTTTCCAACGTACTATTTGTTTTCTTGTTTTTACGCGAATATTATACGTTGTAAACTAACTTTGAACATATTCCTTTACCGACCGGTGTTATAACCAAATTATCTACTTTTGTAATTAATTACGTATAATAAAAGTACCTACATTTATTTATAGTTTCATTGTTAATAACCAATTTTGGATTGTTTCTGAGATATATTGTTTTAAGAAGTGAAATCGTTCGTTATGGAAAAATTTCAAGACTCAGATGGAGTATCTTAATTTTATTGGAATATTCAATATACAGATAGTAAGAACATATTTTAAATACATATTTAACATGAATTTCATATACAGGGAGATTTTTCGAGAAATGCCCAAATTTACAGCGGGGGTTCAAACTCGGTAGTATAATCGTTTATTGAAATATAAAACAAAGTTTTTTTTTTACAAAAAAAAGCCATCCTAAAGAACAGAACGTGTTGACAATGCGGTAGTTATTCATAAATACCTAAATTTTACCGTGCATGAACTTGTGTGCTGTTAGCTATGAATGATCGCGCCTAAAATAAATGACTTGCGTATAAATGACGCACTTTTTGAGATCAAGTTCAAATGAATGTAATTAAACTTACGAGTGATTTTAAATATTTATCATTTTTATATAACATTATTTATGTCTAGGATTTAATAAAAAAAATGGATACACTTAGAAAAGCCACCCTGTATGTGAAATAAAAATGCGTTTTTGTCTTAAAACTATACTATTTTTATGTATTGTTAATTATAAATATTAAAATTATCGCCACGTTTTCCATAGTTCATGTTCATCACGGGCAGTAGCCTGTCTTTTATATTTGCCGTCTAATAAATCATTGTTATTGAACTTAAATGAAGTATAAGTTTATCTCAAGTATAATAATGAAATATAAAATAGAATAACAAT